ACCAAGTGACCAACAAACGGCAAACGGCAAGCGGCACCAGCATAATCAACCAAGCCAGGGTATGTTCTTTCACTTTCTCTATTCGTATACCCTGTAGCCTTTATAATTGGTTAAAAGCGGGCGTATTGCAAGTCTGCGCAACAGGCAGAAAGTTGCCTATTTATTCTGTATCTGTGTGAACGATCTCAGAGAATATTTTTTAAAAATTTATGGAAACTTAAACTGATTATTTTCGATTGCCAATCGATAGTTGTGCTATATGGAAATCTAAAAACTACAAGCAGAAAACCTTATCCGTTAAAAATCTAATCTGCAACAGTTTAAAAAAAATATAAATATAAGACTAAATATAAGACTATCCGAGTGGAGGACATCGCAAGTCATCGATAACTCTCAAACGATAAATATCAATATCAAGTCTGTTTATTTTTGTTTTTAATTTCGTAAGATCTAGGGACTCATATGTTGATTTAAAGCTTATCGACTGGTATACGCAGACCCAGAATGTTCCGCATTTTGGACTTCCAAAAACTAAAGTGGGCAAATTTAATTTTTGGTATATCCTTGCATATAAATGTCATCTTTAAGTCCTGCAATTTTCATAATCAGGCCGCAAATGCAAGAGTTATTTTAAAATGCATTTGCTTTAGTTCAAAATAGGGACTAGCCGCGATCCACAGCACATTGCTGGATCTATTTTGTTAGCACAAAAAGAGCATATAAATAGCTAAATCAGTTTACAATTTTGGCAGAGTATCTTCTAATAGCCACACTTGAGCTATAAAAATGCCAGTATTAGCTTTTTTTTATTGCAAATAGGCTATAAAAAATCATACAATTTTAACAAAAACCTCTGCAAATAGCCACATTTTAGCTATAAAATATAGCTATATTTGCTTTATAAGCGAAAAAACGCCAAAAAATAGCTAAATATGTTTAAATTTTTACTGAGACTCGTGAATTGAGCCATGCGGCTATATTTAAGCTATAAAATATAGCCATAAGTGCTATTATAATAGGTTTAAATATTGATAAATATCTCTAAAAATGACTACATTTTAGCTGAAAATAGCTGTTGTGCCATGTCATAGCTATTAAATATATCTAGATTAGCACTACAAGCAACAACAAAAAACCAGTACAAATAGTAAAATACGTTTAAAATTTTGTCAAATATCTCTGAAAATAGCCACATTTTAGCCATAAAATATGGCTGTCATATAGCTATTAAATATTGCTGTATTAGCGCTCTAAGTATAAATAGCCAATACAAATAGCTAAATACGTTTAAAATGTTGATAAATATCTCTGAAAATAGCTACATTTCAGCTTTAAAATATAGCTAGTCTGGCTTAATTAGAATTAATTGGCAAAATAAACAGCTTAATCTGTTAACAATTGTTGATAATAGCAAATAGCCAAATTGTAGCTAAACAGGGTATCTGCCAGTCGAGCATTGTCCAGACTAGAGCATGCTTCTTATTTTGCTTCTGTTGTCCGATTATGCAGCAATAAATCCGCAAATGAACCCGCAGCAACAGCAGCTTCTCAGTTTTGTGTGCTGTGGAAACGGAGTGGGATTTGGAATGGGAATCGAAATGGGAATGGGAATTGGAATGGGAATTGGAATGGGAATCGGAATCGGAATCGTGTGCGTGGCCACTGACTTTTAAGCTGAGCCGCAACAACAGCGCCCTTCTGGGTGTTGTTGTTGTTGCTGTTGCGCTTTATTTGTGCTCGTTGTTGCTGTTAATTGTTACGCAGTTCATTAACACACAAACAACACCCGACCAGAGCAGACCACAGCACAGCACGGCACGGCACTGTACGGCACACAAATCATGCTTGCCCCTTTAAGTTGCCACCCTCGCGTGGCACACGCGACCAGCTGCCCCTGCCCACGTTCCTTACCCCCCCCGCTTAAGCCTATGCCCCTTTCCATTGCCATTCCCATCTCCCTTTGGCAGCAGCAACATCAGCTAACGATGACATCTAAGCGGTTGCCCGTCGACGACGCTAACGACCTTCTCCACATTGTTGTTGTTTTTGTTGCTTCTGTTGGTGTTGGCGCTGCGTGAGTTTTGGCAGTGTTTCTTTTCGTTAAATGCGTGTAAATCAGTTTATAACACATTGTCAACAATTATCAAGTGTTAGCCTAAAAGGGGTGCTAACATTGCTCTGAGTGAGCGCTAGTGGGGGGGTGGCCAGAGGGTTGGGTTAGCTGGCAACACAGCAGTTTTATTATTTTATTTTTGAGGCCTCGTTGCGCTACGCCTAAACGAAAGTCTCCTAATGGCATGGAATGAGGCATAAATATTATTCCAACAGCATTGTCTTAGCCGAAGTCAAATTTTAGTCAATGTTAGCTAAATTAGAAAGAGCTGAAGGTATTTTAAAAAAAAATTAGCGATGATTAGTGCGATTTGAGTACATTTTAAAGCAATATGAGAAATAGCGCCTCTCTATGCAATTCTCATTGCATCAAGATTTGCAAAAATAAATAATAATAATAAGATTTGCGATTTGATTTGATTATAAATCAATAGCAATAAAAATAGCAACCATCTATGCAATTCTCATAACATTAAAATTCGTAAACAATAAATAATAATAAAACCATTTGCAATTTAAGTAAATATTCAATCAGTGTGAATTTTAAAAAAGCACCTTCCTATGCAATTCTCATATCTACATTCGACAAAGAAAATAAACAAAAAAATAAGAACAATATAAAAATAATAATTATAAAAACAATATGATAATAAAATAATAATAATAATACAACAATAAAAATAATTTTGTATCTTGCGAGTGATAATAATAAATTAATTATTAATTATTAATAAGTAATTCTCTACATATCAGCCTAGGTAAAGCATATTGATTGCCTAATCTTTGTAGGGTATTCATCAGCCGGTGCAGCCGGGCAGAGCTTACTTTCTAAGCTCACTTCCTGCTGCTGCTGCTGCTGTTAACCACCCGTCGTTAACCATACGCTGTTTCCCACCGAAACCCCCTTCTGCCCAGCCCCTGACCCTGCCCCTGCCCCTGTCCCCCTCTCACCACACCCACCCCTTGCTCTGGCACACTTGTAGCACACTCGTTTGGCTGTTTATTTGCAAAACGAAGCGCACGATAATAACAACAATAACAAGTGCCATAAACGTGAGAGGGAGAGGGAGTTGGAGGGGAGGGGATGAGAGGGAGATGTCCACAACTGCCCGTTGTCCTGCGAAAGGACTCCCTAGACCGGAAAAGCTGCTGTGCGTGATTTCAACAAAATTTGGCCAATTTGTTGGCCACGGCTCGCAGCCAACCTCCTCCGCCCCCTGCCCCACACCCTAGATAAAGGAAACAAAAAAAAACAGGGTATATCAAGTTAAGCGTAGTTTGCTGCGCCTTAAACGAAATCAGATGTCAGGGCAAAGGGTTTTAACTTAACCCTTTCGGGCCTTAACCCTTTCTTGGCTGGCTGGCTGGCTGGCTGGCCTTAATCGAGCCAAATCCCGCGCGCTGATGTTGGAAAATATTTGGATGGCTAAGCGACGGCGATTAGGCTGAAAAATAGTCGCAAGTTTCACGAACATCAGATTAATACGCGCTAAGCTAAGCTCCGCTAAGTGCCAAGGAATATCTAATCCTTGCTTAACTCTTTTCGAGTCCTGGGCGTAGGTAAGGCCAATTTGCAGCTCAATTGTGTGGCTACTGTGCGGACTCGAGTCCCGAGTCCTGAGTCCCTCTGCCTGCCATGTAAACAGACAATGTAAACAACGGAAGCCGATGTCCTGCTTAACCCGTTACCCGCCAGCCCATACCCTATATATATGACATTTAAGCCAGGTAGCCGGGCACGCCCGCGCCTAGGTAGCCGCCGCTCTGTTTGCATGCCGTCGCGTTGATCCGCCGTACAAACAAGCTAATCCTGCGGTTAAACTGCCATTGAGTTTATCAAAATAAACCGGGCAATGTCTACCCGGAAGGACGTCGCGATCGGCGCGGCGCGGAGAGATCCCGGCCAAGCGAACGGGTTGAGAGTCCGTGAAAACGGGTTAAGAGATGCTCACGGATTTATTTGGCCCTTTGGGCAAATATCAAATGCATGTCTTCTGTCTATCCGCAAAACTAACAAAACTAAATGCCAGCTATAAATCTGGCTGATTAGTAAAGTGCTCTCGCCCCCTAAAAACTCTCGCGCTGACCGATTCTCGAATACTCTATAAGCCGCCGTATTGATTTAGCGTATTTGATGTGCGGTAGCTGCGTTTTACAACCAAATTGTTTGCATTTCCGCAGTTCTTGTCAATGAAAAATTCGACTCTCTGTTTGTCGTTTAAATACGGCTTCCTGTTTTTTAAGCTAGCCTGAGCAGGATATGCCAATTCGAACAAAGCTGGCGATATGATATTCGAAATCTATATTTATTTATGGCATACTCTGAACGAGTTTGTCGATATTATCGCACTAGTTTATCGATATTTTTCTACCTAATAGCGATAAATATCGACTTGGTTTTCAGCGCAAAGCTCGAGGATTATACGATCGATATACTTGAAACTTCGATAGGATTGGGAATAGTTCACTTTTTGTATACCTCCCCCGGTTTCCCCTATAATAAGAAAGGAACTCAATTTTAAAGTTAGAGCCTTGCGCTTTTGATATTTGATTTTAGGCGCAAAGTTCGAGGATTATACGATCTGTGTACCTCAAACTTGATTTGAAGGTTCTCCCTTACACAGATTGGGAATAGTTCACTTTTTGAATACCTCCCCCGGTTTCCCCTATAATAAGAAAGGAACTCAATTTTAAAGTTAGAGCCTTGCGCTTTGGTATGTACACAATTTTATGTGTCATATTTAAGTCCTGGAAACTTCAACAAGATCTGACTGTAAGCAACCGAGTTAATTGGGAACATATTTCCCGTACACAGCGTGGGGCAAAGGCAAGAAGAGCCTCCCATGATATAAGCCATATCTTAACCCAAATCTTACAAGTATAGAACCTTTTTCGAATAAGATCGTTTTGTTATTGGGTAAGATTAAATAAATATATAAACGCGATATACATTGGGATCGACAGATATAAACATTACATATATTCAGATACACTTCTGGTCTGTGGACAAGCCATGTCTAAGAAGAACCCATAGAAATTGGGTAGTCACTTCTGTAATGGCGCCAAGCGATTCCTTTTGTGGCCAATTTGATGCAGCGGATACTTTGGAATTAGGTACTCCAATCTCTGATGGCGCCGCAGGGAACATTCCATATAATCCTGCCAACGGACACTTTGGGGCGTATGGCACTCCTCGCTGTTGCCCTGCAGATAAATCTGTCGCCTGAGGTCCAACCAAATGGGCCGATGCAGATGACAGCTGGTATAGAGCATTCGCTTTAGATAGTCCACGACCTTGGGCACGTTGTAGATTTCGCTGCGGCCAATGCAGACGTTTTCCAGATTTGTGTAGCTGCAAGAATGAGAAGAAAACAAAAATGAAGAGAATGATTCGACTTGGAAAGGCAATCGGCGAAATTTACGCACCTTGGATAATAATCCGAAACCATATAAGTCTCTATCAGAAACCGTAGAGGTGTGAAGCGGTGGCCTATGCCAAATCGAGTATCGCGGAACATTTTGCCGAAGGTGATGCCCCAAAAGGTGGCCACCCATTCGCCTTTCTCGTTTTTTATGAATCGCGGCATGGACACAGTTAGTTCCTTGTGCGTTACATTCGGACCTTTTGCCCTTTTTGTCGTTTTTCTGGCTGCCCCACCTGCCCCACCTCCAACCTGAGCACCAACCCCTCCCTGAGCACCACCCCCTCCCTGAGCACCACCTCCAGCATCTCCTTGCTTAGGTGCTCTCTGAACTGCAGCGGCCTCCTCCTGCTGGGCTTTCGCCCAAAAGTTAATCCTCGGTGGGCCACGCCGATTGGGCATCCACTTGTCAAATGCCCCGCCAACGGCTGCATTACCGTCTTTCCAAAAAGTCATCTTTAATTTGGGGAACACGCCGCTGGTGCTGATTTTCTCTGTGCGAGCTACACGCATCGCTGCAGCGTCCGAGCTGTCCGGCGATTTTAGCTGCAACAAAGACGTGTTATAAATTGTCATATCGGGCTCGGAAGACCTACGAGCATTATGTTGAGAAACAGCAGGACCGTCAGAGAACTTGCCGTAGACATTTCGAAAACTTTCACAGGAATTTCGTAAAACACAAAAATCAACACGAAATGCTAAACTATAACCAACTGACGTTTGAGAAAATGTAAACGAAAAAGGAAAGAGTTTTCGTATCAGCTAGAAGACGTGCTTCGACAGATTCCACCCGCATGTGTGGAAAAAACGTGAAAACCATTTGCATGAAACTTTTTTATTTACCATCTGATCGGCCTCAAACTCATTTTCAAAGATCTTTGTTCAATTTCATTTGAGGGGTGTTTCACACTTTTCAAAAAATCCATTCCTCCTTGGTGGAAATGGGGGTCAGAGATTTGGTGGGTCACGTTTCGTGTTCAAATTTTTTTTCAAAAGATCTAATCGAAAAATCATTTAAAACGTGTTTCATACTTTTCGCATAATCCAAGCTTCCTTGGTTTGAACTTAATGAATACGTCTTTCAGCCTTTTGGGGAATTTCACCTGAAACGGTGGAAAATTGGCGGAAAACGTTAGTATGAAGATTTTTTTTTACCGTCCGATCGGCTTCAAACGTCATATTCATAGATCTTTGAGAGAATTTATTTTATACGTGCCACGTGCAAGGCCGGGCTATACCCGCTCGCAAATTTATATAGCTTCAAAAGCCAATATACTCCTTTTCCGCTTTGCGTGGCGGGCATTAGGGGAGAAACTGTTACAAGCAACAAACCAAAACAATGAACAACAACAATAATTCAATACACACTCAATTGAAAAACGCAAACACAAACGAGGATCCATTGTGAAAAATGTGTAGCCAGCAATTAAAATGCCGTTGTGTGCGCCATTTTGTTTTGACCTGCGGGCCCCCATTAAGCTTATATGTGCACGCGCGAGAGCGAGAGAGAGAGAGCGTGAGTGAGTGGAGCTTTTGCGCGCATGTCTCCACTCTACACGCAAAGCGAACGTCCAATAAGTTTTAGCCATGCGCTCACACACACACACGCACGCACACATGCATGCAAGCAGACCGCATTCCGTTGCGGGCTGCTTAACATGAAGAAGAAGAAGAACAGCTACAATCCACACACTACAACAATTGGCCAACATGGCGTCTGACGTTTTTATTTGCGTAGTTTCTGCTGCTGTTTTTCTTGTTGTTCTTCTTGTTGTTGTTGTCGCTGCATTTTTATTTTAGTTTTCTTTTGGTTTATTTTTGGGCGCAGGTAAAACATGTTACACCTTGGCAGCTCTTGGCTCCAATCAGAGCGCGTTGTCCTCCTTTTATGTTCCACACACACACACACACGAGCAGAGCTGAGTTCACGCCCCCCGCAAATGAGCGAAAACAATTATTATGATTACAAAATGATTGCGTTTTCGAGCGGGACACATGTCCGTTCGGGCTTGTGCCTCATGCGAATGGCAGCAGCTGTTGCTGCCTTTTCAAAGATTCCACGAAACACACGATTGCAGCAAATTGCATCTAATTGTTAAGGAACCCAACAGCATTTGCATTTTGTATTTATTGAATGCTAAATGCAGCTAAAATGCAGCTAAATGCAGCTAAAATGCTTGAATTTTTAATGTTAAAAGTGGCATTTGTATTCTTAAACAGTTTAGCAAAAGGAATTAAGGTTAATTCAAATTGAATGGGGTAAATTAAGGGTTCAAAAAGACCATAAAAGACTACTTAACTCTCAGAAGAAAATTATAAGATAAATAAATAATAAAATCGAATAAAATATAGTTTAATAATTTTTAAACTGTTATTATACACAATTTATTGTTAGTTAATTAGTCGAAGTTCCTATATAAAATCGAATTTAGCAGAATGTGGCGTTGAACTGTCAAGCCGCAAATCGCTGGTTCAAATTTGACCGCAATGTTTCATTTTTATATTCATATATAAATTTATATCATATATATATAATATATAATATAATTCATATATAAATTATATATATTTGTTATTATTCGCAGAGAAAAACTTCATAATACATCGCAAATTGTTAATTGGTTCAAGATTTGTGGAAACTTTTTTGAAAATCTTAATTTTGGTTTAATTTTGTTTGTTAGTTAAGCTATTTATTTGCTCCAAGGATGGGTTTTGTTACGCTCTGAAGATCGCTCGCAAGTTAAGCTACAAATTTGGAGCCTAAATCGAGCGCTTCGTCTAAGCCAGCAGCTGTTCCTCAAAAGAACTTGCATTGTATTTGTTTTCGGTGCTGTTTTATAAACATTATATAAAACATTCGCACATAGCTCTTAAACGTTGCGAGTTCTGAAAGGGGGCAAAACCAAAACCGAAACAAAGGCATGTGTGCGTACGTGTGTGTGTGTGTGTGTGTGAAAACAAGAAAACCATTAAAAGGAACCTTCACAACAACAACACAACAACAGTTAGAAACTGTAACAAATGCGGCAGCTGCTGCGAAAAGAGCAGAATAAACGAAAAACCTGGCGTATCAAAATGCAACCCACAACGCGGCCAAACCGTGGCGGCTGCCTTCCCCCTTCCCCTATCAACTCTCCACGCACACACACACACACATACTAACTTAACGATAAAAGCCAAAAACAAAGGCCAGTCGGCGTCGGCGTCGTCGCCGGCGTTCGTGTCGTGTCAGCAGCAATTAGCAGCGCGAATGTTAAAAATCTGTACACACACACACGCACGCACACATGCGCACGCCAGCAAAGAGCTCGCGCGAGCGAGCGCGCCGTATGTGCTATGCTTCGCGTGAGTGCGAGCGAGCGAGCGAGAGAGAGGGTGAGTGCCAGGGCAAACACAATCCACAGCTGCCATTGGCTGTGGCGGCGCTCGCAGCAAATGCCGCGAGGCGCAGCAACTGGATTGAGATTTTTTTGGAATTCTTGTTAGTCTACACAAAACGCCAAAGCGCAGCGGACGTGTGAACACGAGCAACGGTAGAAACGTGCAACGGTAAACGGCCAACGGCCAACGGCGAATGGCTAAAACGTAAACGTGCCCAATTTGAATACGCGTGTGGGCGGCATTCAATCAATTTGCTGCGCTGTGATATAAATTAAATTACAAACAAAAAAAAATAAAATAAAATGCAGCTTTAGCAACAAAAAACCAAAACAAAACTACAAAATAAACAATATTCTGCAACAATTGACAGTGCAAAATGGTGAAAATCGTTGACGAGATCAACGCACATCATCATCATCCACACAATCACGCGCCGCACACACACCATCCACAGCCGCATCCACACCCGCATCCGCATCCACATCCACATCCGCATCTCAGTGCCGTCGGCGCATTGAATCTGAATCTGAACTTGACGCCGGCCACGCTGCTCATGAAAATGGCGCGAACGCCGCATCTGAAGTCCAGTTTCTCGATAAATGCCATATTGCCGGAGACGGTGGAGCAGGATGAGCAGCGGGAGCAGGAGGATCAACAGCAGGCGGCACAAAAGTTTAACAACAACAATAACAATAACAACAGCAACAACAACAATAGCTCACCGTTGGGCTCGGAGCCGGACAGCGATGTGGAATCGGATTTGGATGTCACCTCCATGTCGCCAGCGCCGCCCGCAGCCGAGGACGAACACGAACCCGATGATGAAGATGCGGATGCAGATGCAGATGCAGATGTAGATGCAGAGGCGGATGGAGATGGCGATGGCGATGAGGATGTGGAATGTGATAACGATTCGGAGACGAAATCAACGGACGGCAAACCCATCAAGGATAAGAAGGGCAACGAGAAGCCGCCGTATAGCTACAATGCGCTGATCATGATGGCCATCCGGCAGAGCCAGGAGAAGCGTCTGACCTTGAATGGCATCTACGAGTACATCATGACCAATCATCCGTATTATCGGGACAACAAGCAGGGCTGGCAGAACTCCATACGCCACAATCTCAGCCTGAACAAGTGCTTTGTGAAGGTGCCGCGACACTATGATGATCCCGGCAAGGGCAACTACTGGATGCTCGATCCGTCGGCGGAGGATGTCTTCATTGGCGGCTCCACCGGCAAGCTGCGGCGTCGCACCACCGCCGCCAGCCGCTCCCGCCTGGCGGCCTTCAAGCGCTCCCTCATCGGACCCATGTTCCCCGGCCTGGCGGCATATCCGCAATTCGGACAGTTCCTCACCTATCCGCAGGCGGCGCCCAGCCTGCTGGCCAGCATGTATCAGCGCTACAATCCGTTTGCGCCCAAGAACCCGGCTGCGGCGGCGGGCCTGCTGCCCGGCTGCCCAGCACCGGGCCCGCCGCCGCCGCCGCCGTTCGTTAGCCCCGCCAGCAGCCAGGAGCTGTACCAGCGTCTGCAGTATCAGCAGCTGCTGCATCAGCATGCCGCTGCCGCCGCTCTGGCGGCGCATCAAAGGCAACTGAGCGCGGCGATGCCAACGGCGCCGGCGCCGCAGCCGCACATGACGCATCTCGGGCAGCCGCCCTCCTCGCCCAATCTCCAGCAGCAGCAGGGGCAGCAGGGGCAGCAGGGGCTGGGGCACGGGGAGGCCAGCTCCCGTTCCCCAGGTCCGCAGCTGAAGCCCGTCACAGTTGTCAGCCGCAACAGCTGAAGCGGGCAGCAGTGTATAAAGTATTCGTTGTATATAGAAAAAAACAGCCGCGACTGAGGCGCTAGACGCTTGTAAATAGAGAGGAGCAGAGCAGCTACTTCGGCTAGCCGAAGCTTAAATACCCTTGCAGCGCAGCACATACTTAAGCTAACTCAGCTAAAATACCCTTGCAGAATCTCAAATACTTAAGAGAACTCCAATAGGAAAGAGATTCCTCCAGAATATTGACAAATTTATCATTAAATAGTTCTCTATAAAAAATACTTTAATTTATTTGAAATTAAAGTTATATTAAAAATATCGCCAGGGCATCTAAAAAACTTTATCTTAGCTTATTTTTTCACTGATCGAAATTCTTGGAAACCTTCTAGTTTTTCAAAAAGTTAAACTTTGTTTATATTCCTATATTGCGGGACGTCTTAAACTAATATTTAAGTTTAGCTGACGTCCGTATATGTGGATTTTATTTCCTATGATCCATTCAAGTGAAACCCTCCATTAATTCTATAATAAATATCTTTTACTTTTGAACTATTCTATCTTTTGTAATATATTTAAAAAAGTTAGCAAAATAATTTCCAACTAAAGCCTAAACTATTAAAAGAAAGTCTCTATGAATTGTTTTAACACTTTCGATTCTTATTTTCCATATTTTCCACACAGTTGCGTGGATTTATCGCAATAGATGGAATGCGTATCACATGAATTTTCAAAAAGGTGAATTGAATGGAAAAGAAAAATGTTTTTAACATTTCTACGTTCAGCCTTACAACCTTATAGATCCAAATTTTTGAGTATTCTTTCAAGACACTCAAAAAGGTTTCTAGCCTAAATCTTAAAATCGTTCAAAATGAAATTCTTTTAAAAAAACAGGCACATGCCTTGTTTTTTGTAAAAGAAATTTCATATCAAAAAACGTTCTAAAAAATTTCATTTTTTGGCGATGTCCCAAGGCTTAGATTAAATATTTCATGAATGCAGTTCCATTCTTAACTTAAAACAAGCTCTCTTTATGATCTATAAAAAAAGTATTTCATTTGATTTTTTCCTAAAAACAAACGAAATGGGGTTAAATAACAGAAAAGTTTCTATGAATTTCAACTTTATTTTGATGCCCTTTAAAATTGATTCTCATTAAAGTGTAATTTAACTTCTAATGCCTAATTCCATAGACTCCTGCAAGGGTATTTCTAATATGCATAGAACAGAACGTACTCTGTTTCGATAACGAAAACGATTACGATAACGATAACGATTACGATAACGATACTTAAGCGCAGCAGGCAATTGAAAGTAAGCACTATTTAATTTATATTATTACTATTATTATTAAAATGATTATTGTGTACTTTAGAAGGCAGACATAAAACAATTGAAATTCTATTGAAATAAAAAATAAAGAAACAAAACAAAACGGAAAATTGCAACAAAAATTTGACTTTGAAATCGGTTTTTGTTCGGCGGTTAAATTGAACTGCAGTGCGTTAAATTAATCTGTTGTCGCGACAAAAAAGATGCTGACGTCCAACAGGAAGTCCTTAATAAGTCGCACACCAACACACACACACACACAAGTCGCTAACAGGCACTGTTAAGTGTCAAATCAAATAAAATTTTAGCGCATGTCCCACACACGCCAACAAAATGAGGGGCGCATGGAGCGTGCGGAACTCGGCAGCGGCTGATCAAATTGTTTTTACCGACTTGCTAGTCATTATGTTGTTGTTGTTGTTGTGCTTGCACATCGGGTGTGGAAATGGGAATGGGTATGGGAATGGAAATGGGAATGGGTCTGGGAATTGGATTTCGTTTGCCCGCCAAGAAATGCGGGCCAGACACAATTTCACACATCGCAAAAGGCATTCGGCGTTGGCGTTGATCTGTGCAGACGCAGCCGCATGGAATGAAGTGGGCTTTGGACTAACTATATGTCTAGCAATAGATTAATATAGTCAAAGACTAGTTAAGGAAGTTGGGAAAAGGCTGTGGTTAGGCTAAAGAAAAATACGAATTATTTAAGCAATTACCCTAAAGAATACGCAGGAAGAGATTTTGATTTTTCTTGAGCTAATTTCTTCTCTTATTTCGATAACATCGATAAATATCGATTTTAAGTCTTGGTTATTTAAGCATAACTCGAAGATTATAAGAGCAAGATGCACCAAACTTGGAGTGTAGCTTTTTCTATAGTATATACTGATAAAGAATAATTCACTTTTTGCATATCTTCCACCATTTCCCTTCAAAATTGATAAAAACTCATTTTTGAAGGTAGAGCCTTGCGCTTTGGTATGTACACACTTTTATATGCCATATTTAAGCTCCGCAAATTTCAGACAAATCGGACTATGAGAACTCGAGTTAATCCAGAATGCATTACCCATAAATAGTGTGGGCTGGAAAGAAGAAGAAGCAAAGCACCTGGCGTGCTTATGTATGTGTGTGCATGTATGTGTGTGTATGTATGTGTGTGTATGTACATATGTATAGAGGACAACTAGGCGCTGGCTGCAGGGTATATTCAAGTCTGGCACGCCCAATTAAAGAACTTTTTATAGTTTTTATTTTAACAGACAACTCCCAAATATATCAAAAATGTTCTCAATATTTTTCTCAATTTTCTTAAATATAATATTAATATAATTTAATTGAATACAATATGATATAAAAATTCCTTAGCCCATTTTCTATGCTCTCTTCTTGAGTTGCGGACAATCTCTGACTTCCAGCCGAATGAATAAGTGTCGCATTTAAAAATGAAAAAAAAGAGCCTGCCACTTTTAGAAAGGTGTTGCAAGAACAAGTGGCAGCAGCTCGAACGGCTTTCCAAATGCCAAGTGCATGAGACTTGCCACTGCTAGCCCTTGCCGCTCTTCTTCTTTATCGCTTCTGCTACTGGTTCTCGAGCTGCCCAAATGCATGATTCATTCGCTGCAGGTTAATAAACTGCACGACTCAAGATTCAATCTGCGCTCTGCACTGTGCGCTCTTCTGCGCTCAAGGCGGCGGGGGCCTGGCAACGGGGCGTATGTGTAATATCGCATCCATCTAGTTGACAATTGTCGCCTGACATTTCACAGTTGCACATTTCAATTTAACAAAATCTTCGACTACAATTGGCGACAATGCGACGCCAGTCGCCAGTTTAGTCGTATCTATACCCTGAACCCATGGCAAAATGCGTAAAAGGGGTATGATGTTTGTGAAGGAAGCATCTCCTAAAACAAATAGATATATATTTGTGATCAGGCTGACGAGCTGAGCACGATAGAGACTTAAAATGTGAGACATATATTCTTCTAAGCCATAAGCAGAGGGCGATATTTCCTTCCATGCCCTATTCCCATCGATAAATATCGATATTGATACTTCGTTTCTTAAGCATAACTCGAGGATTATACTATCTTGCTATACCCAATTTGGTATGTATACAGATTAAGAAGGCTTTGCTTTTCCTTTAACTTTTCCCCATTCCCATGTAAAATTGGCAAAATTCTCATTTTTATTAGTATAGCTTTGGGCTTTGGTATACACCTACTAAATTTCATAAAGATCGATATTAATAGACACGTGATCAGCCAAAACACTCTTCCTTTAATAACTTTTGTGTTTTTGAACCGATCTTGATGAAAGTTTCAATAGCAGGTCTTTTTATGCTATAGAATATTCGTATTATCTCAATAAGACAATTTCATAAAAATTGTGGCTTAAATTGGTGGGTAGTTCCAATTGGTTTATATTTTCTTTATTTATACCAGAGTTTACTCATATATGTTCTTGGGAAAGTGGAAGAAGTAGAAAAAGCACAGACAATTCTTGCTTTCCATACTCTGTAATTAGAGTAGCTCTTCAAGAGGGTATCTTAAGAATGTGGGACTCTTCTTGACTTTATAAAGTATATAGACTTAAGAGCTGAGTTCATCTAGTCTCATCGAACTCAGAGACTACACGAGCTAGAGCTACGAAATTTGGAATGTAGGCTCTCATATGCCTAAACCTTGTTTAAAATAGCTCTAATTTGCCAGAGCTGTCTATATACAGAAAAAATCAATAACAATCCTATACAAAATCTTGATTTGTATTGCCTTAAATTGAGGGTATGTGAAAGTCTTGCCTTTCCGCCACGTATGGTTGCAATTGTTTTGTGTACGCCCCGTAGCTGAGCATAAGAATCAGAATGAGAATCAGAATGAGAATCAGAATGAGATTATCCAATTCAGTTGGTTAATGCGCGCATTTAGATAGAAGTACCACACAACGTATTTATAAGTATATATATATATATGTTCATGTCTTATCTGGTTGCAACATCGTGTTGTTACATTTTCAATTGGGCTTTGTGGCATATGTTTTGCCTGCTACTCAATTCCATTCAAGTTGCCAATTATGCGACCATTATTCAATCAAAGTAAATTTATTTGTTTGTCTCAATTCCACGTAAAAACTGAAAAGCTGACGAGAACCCGGCGGCAAGGCATCTCAGCTGAATATAGTATGTTCCATCAATTTGTTCGCCTTGCGCGCGACGGATTATGGTCTGTGTATAAACATTTCGAGTGAATTATCCTTATATATGATGTCACATATAGTTGCCGCAATTGCCAGTTAAGCTGAATGCGTCCGCATGACTGAAGATCTCGCAAGTTCAAGAAACTCTTCGGTTCAAAAGAGACATAGAACAGATGTGCGTAAGATCCACATATATTGCGGCAAATGGCGCCAGTTTTTCTGGTTGTTCTTGTTGTTATGATTTATAAACTGCGGCTGCTGCACTTCCAATGAAGATTCATCGTGTGCCCAGTTTAATGCAAA